ATTAAAAAGAGAATAATTGAGTGATTTCCCCGAGTCCCTCGGCTGCTGGTAGTGAGACTCGCCCCGGCCGATCCTCAAAGCCACAGCTTTCCTTCCTGGCCGTGACCACCTTAGCCGTTCCGTCACATTCGTGTGGAGAGAGTTGGTGCCCTTTTCTCAATGTATATTTTTGGGGGGGGGGGGGTAATCCTCACCTGAGAATATTTTCCCATTGCTTTTCGGAGAGAGTGGAAGGGAGGTGGGGAGAGGGAGAGAGAGAGAAAAACATCTACGTGAGAGAGACACATCAATGGGTTGCCTCCCGCACGTGCCTGGACTGGAGACAGGGAGGGGACCCCACAACCCAGGTTCTTTGCCCTTGACTGCGAGTCAAACCTGAGACTCTTTGGTGCACAGGCCTGAGACTCTAACCACTGAGCTCACCAGCCAGGCCCTCCTTGATGTTTCCCAACCACCGGATTTATTACTTGAGCCTGCCCCCACCTCCCCCCTTTCTCCACCCACCTCTGCCCATTGGACATCTCTCAACTCCTGGTGTGTGGGTGTGGTTTGTTGAAAGGCTGAAGGAATGTATCGCTGAGCTGACAGATGCCTAATGGAAAAGTTGGAGCTTTATCCTGAGAGAAGCCATGGGGAGCGGGGTGGGCACTCAGAGGGCGGGGTGACTAGGTGAGATAGGTGCTTGGGAGCCTTCTGGGCCCTACCCCCCCCACACCCCACCCCGCTCAACGCCGTGGTTTTGCATATGCTGTTCCCCCATGTCTGGAGTTCTCTCTCTCTGGCTTGGCCCCTCTCCTTCCCACCACAGCTGTGCGGTCTCCTCCTCCAGGAAGCCCTCCCTGACTCCCACGCTGGTCAAGCACCCCTTCCGGGCTGCCCCGTCCCACGTTCCGCGTCATCATTGTTGTCTGGGGCTGGGTCCGAGCCCCCTCTGGACTGTGACTCCCCCAGAGACAGGGCTGGGACTGTCTTAGTCCTCGCTGGGTCCCTGGCCCTGCCCGTTCCTGGCCCAGCCAGGTGCTCAGAGTAAGTGACGGTCCCCTGAGGAAATGTCTCAGGCTGGGGTCCGGGAGCCAAGGGGAGGGGGAGCTGTGGTGTCCCCGAGGGGTGGAGGGCGCAGGCTGGGGCCAGAGACACCTGAGTTCAAAGCCCCTGCCCAGCTCAGGGGTTTGGGGCCCCGGGAGCCTTAATAACCTCTGTCTGCCTCCGACTTAGTGAATGGGGAGAGTGGCTTCTCACGGTGAGGTTACAAGATAAGGTCCAGCCGAAACCGGTGTGGCTCAGTGGATAGAGCGTCGGCCTGCGGACTGAAGGGTCCTAGGTTTGATTCCGGTCAAGGGCATGTACCTTGGTTGCGGGCACATCCCCAGTGGGGAGTGTGCAGGAGGCAGCTGATCGATGATTCTCTCTCATCGATGTTTCTAACTCTCTATCCCTCTCCCTTCCTCTTTGTAAAAAAATCAATAAAATATTTTTTAAAAAGATAAGGTCCCACAGCTTCACCTCTTGCTGCCTTGGGGCTTTGTATTCTCATCCCTTTCACGTTCTCCCTCTGTCCTTCCAGTGTCATCCCGGGAGCTCCCTGACCTGCTGGTCTCCTGGCAAATGTCACTCCCCCCTTGTGATCCCTCCTGCTCCTCTGCCTTCAACGCCCTCCTTTCTGCAGTTTCCTCCTCCCTAACCTGCAGCTCCCTCCTCCCTGACCAACCTCAGGGCTCATTCCTGGTCTCCCCTCTCCAAAACCTGGCACGGGTTTTGCCTGTTCTTTCTTTCTTCCTTTCTTCCTTTCTTCCTTTCTTCCTTTCTTCCTTCCTTCCTTCCTTCCTTCCTTCCTTCCTTCCTTCCTTCCTTCCTTCCTTTCTTTCTAAAACAAGAGATTCATTTTTTAAAATATTTTTATTGATTTTTTACAGAAAGGAAGGGAGAGGGATAGAGTTAGAAACATCGATGAGAGAGAAACATCCATCAGCTGCCTCCTGCACACCCCCTACAGAGATATGCCCGCAACCAACGTACATGCCCTTGACTGGAATCGAACCCGGGACCCTTCAGTCCGCAGGCCGATGCTCTATCCACTGAGCCAAACCGGTTTCGGCAGCAATTTGATTTTTAAGCGGGGGTTGGGGGGGGCAATTAAAGAATGAGTTATTAACAGTGAATTTTTTGCATTTCTTATGGTTCCAGGAGCCTCAAATACAGTATATACATATATAGTGACATATTTATGCATTTCGGTTCTCTCTTATGTTTTGAAACTTTATTTGCTATTTTTACGTCACTTCATATTATTATTATTATTATTTTAACAATTTCTTAGTGATTTCTCCCTCAACTGTCCTTTTGTTCCTTTATTTTTCCCTTTCACGGATGCCACGTTCTTTGGAAGCTTGTTTAGACCAAGTTCCTGGCCTTTTAGGCTCCCTCCACATGAATAGAAGCTCACTTTTATTTTTTTTTAATATACCTTTATAGATTTCAGAGGGAAACATCAATGATAAGAGGGAATCATTGGTTGATTGCCTCCTGCACGCCCCCTACTGGGGATCAAGCCCACAACCCAGGCATGTGCTCTTGACTGGACTCAAACCCAGGACCTTCAGTCCACAAGCTGACGCTCTATCCACTGAGCCAAACCAGCTACGATTGGAGTTCACTTTCTGAATAACAAGACTTCTATGTCACAGGAGGTGCGTCAGGATTTTGGAGATGCTTGGGGGGGGGGGGGATGGCCAAAAAAAAGATTGGGAAGCACTGGGTTAGGGCCTTGGGAGACAGACATGCAACTCCCAGCCTCCCCAAGTGTGGCCTCAAGGCGAGTGACTTCCTCTGGCCATAAGCCCCTGTCTTGCCCATCTGGAGAATGGGTTTAAGTGGGACCAACCTCGCCAAACAGTTACAAAGATTCCAGGAAATCAGGCATATGCATTTGTCGAAAGTCAGTGAATGTCACTTAAGATGTGTGCATTTTAAAAAATATATTTTATTGATTTTCCACAGAGAGGAAGGGAGAGGGACAGAAAGAATAACATCAATGAGAGAGAAACATCGATCAGCCGCCTCCAGCATGGCCCCACTGGGGATGCACCCGCAACCAAGGCACATGCTCCTGACCGGAACGCAACCCGGGACCCCCTAGTCCACAGGCTGACGCTCCATCCACTGAGCCAAACCGGTTTCGGCAGGAGAGAGAAATTTATTGTTTCACGTATTTATGTGTTCATTGGTTGCTTCTTGTATGTGCCCTGACTCGGCATGTCTGGACAACAGGACACTCTAACCAACTGAGCTACCAGATCAGGGCGGGAACGTTTGTATTGAAAAATTATTCATATTATTCAATAAATATCGCCATCTGGTTACACCACTCGTGTGACGGAATCTGCATTTTAAAAAAAATTTATTATTTTTTTCAGAAGACAAAAGTACTTGGATATTTTAATAAATTTCCCTCCATGTAGCTTCAAGCTATCAGGACACAGGCCCCACCAACACCCTTCATCCTCTCCTCCGCTCCTCTGCCGAAGACCTTGGCCTTCCCTCCCCCAGAACTCTGTAGCTGCCGGATCGCACCACCTCAGTGACGGGAGCAGCTCCGGTCTTGCTTTTGGCAGCATTGACCCGCGTCTGCTCACTGACCAGGGCCCACACTGCTTATCCAGGTTGACATACCAACTTGGATGACATACCAAAGTGGTTCCTCACACCAACTTTCCCAAAGTCACCTGGGTGCTATCTGTCCAAGGGGATCCTGTGATGATGATGCAAACCACCAGCATTACCGCGGCCCCCCGGGAGCTGCCTGTGCTTGCCGAGGCGAGGCGGCCGTGGCCGGGGCTCACGTGGCCCGGAAGTTTTCGGGTCTTCCTGAGTGTGGACATGGGCATGTGGGTGGCCCAGCTGCAAGAGCGGGAATCTGCCAAAACCGGTTTGGCTCAGTGGACAGAGCGTCGGCCTGCGGACTGAAAGGTCCCAGGTTCGATTCCGGTCAAGGGCATGTACCTTGGTTGCGGGCACATCCCCAGCAGAAGGTGTGCAAGAGGCAGCTGATCGATGATTCTCTCTCCTTGATGTTTCCAACTCTCTATCCCTCTCTCTTCCTCTCTGTAAAAAATCAATAAAATATATATTTAAAAAAAAAAAAAAAAGATCGGGAACCTGCGCTTTACACGGGAGGAACTGAAGTGCCGAGAGCTGATGAAAGACCGAATTTGGGGGTGGAGGAGGAGTTTCAGGCGGAGTGGACAGGAGAAGGAGCGCGGGAGGACCACAGGCCCCGCCCACTCCGGGCCCCGCCCCTGGATACGGCCCCTGTTATTGGGCTTTAAATTCCCAGGAGGGCGGGGCGCTGGGCGGCCGCGGCCAATCGGAGCCCGCGGCTGGGTCCCCGCCCGCGCCAGCCTCGCCCGGGTCTGAACCTTTAATCGTAGCAGCTTCCTCCGAGCAAGCGAGCGAGCTGAGAGCCACGCGGCGGGGCGCGGGGAGAGCTGTTGTGTCCAGGGTCCTCGGGCCGCCCTCTCCCGGATCTAAGGATCTGGTTCCCCTCTCCCCGGAGCTCCGTTTACCGCCCCCCCATCTCCCCGCCAGACCCAGGCTCCCGCGTCCTCGCCGTCCAGGACCAGGCACTCCGGGTCCCCGCCTCCCGGATCCAGGCATCCGGCATCTGCGCCACCAGCACCTCGGCCGCGTCATCCTCCCCGAGCCAAGGACCCCGAGTCCCGGAGAAGCTCCTGGATCCCCACTCCCGCGGCCAAGGCACCTAAGACACCCAGACTCCGGGCTCCGGACACAGCCTCCGGGCAGGGAAGCCCCGCGCCGGCCCCGGGACCGCAGACTCTCCATCGGCCCAGAACCAGGAACTTGGGCGCCGGGGCGCGCGCCGGGGACCCTCCGCCCCAGCCCCCGGCTGCTCCTCCGCTCGGCCCGAGGGAACGCGGGTGTCCTCGGCGGGAGCCCCAAGCCCGCCCAGCTCCCAGGCTCCAAGAAACCCGGGGGAGTGCACGATGGTGGCCGATCCGCCCAAGGGAGCGGACCCCACGTGGCCGGCCGCGAAGCCCGCCGCGAACGGAGCGCCCCCCGCGGCCGCGACGCCCCCCGAGGCCCCGGGCGCGGCGGGCGGCGGCCGCTGCTCGCGGGCCCGGGCGCGCCGCTGCCTCCGCGCCAACCTGCTGGTGCTGCTGACCGTGGCGTCGGTGGTGGCGGGCGTGGCGGTGGGGCTCGGGGTGGCGGCGGCCGGCGGCTCGGCGGCGCTGGGCCCCGCGCGCCGGGCGGCCCTGACCTTACCCGGGGAGCTGCTGCTGCGCCTGCTGCGGATGATCATCCTGCCGCTGGTGGTGTGCAGCCTGGTGGGCGGCGCCGCCAGCCTGGACGCGGGCGCGCTGGGCCGCCTGGGCGCCTGGGCGCTGCTCTTCTTCCTGGGCACCACGCTGCTGGCGTCCGCGCTCGGCGTGGGCATCGCGCTGGCGCTGCAGCCCGGCGTCTCCGACACCGCCCGCCCCGCCGGCAACGCCTCGGCCCCCGGCGCCGTCCCCAAGGACGCGGCCCTCCCCAGCAAGGAGGTGCTGGATTCTTTCTTGGACCTCGTGAGGTCAGGACCGGCCGCCGGAGGAGGGGAGCGGGTGGGGGAGTGAGGGGTGCGGGAGGGGAAAGGGGGGGAGAGGGTGCTCAGCCACGTGGCGGGGCGGGACCGGAGGGCGCATGGTGGTAGGGATGGCGGGAATGGATTCTCCGGAGCCCGGACACCTCCAGGGCCTCAGGAGACTGTGTGTGTGTGTGTGTGTGTGTGTGTGTGTAGGGAAGCTCTGGTCTTTCAAGGGGGAAGAGAGACTCCTGGGGAAGGATGTGGGGAACTGGAGACATAAGGGGGTGGGGGGACCCCACATAAGGGCTTACAGAGAAAAGGGAAAGCCATGCTTGGGGGACATAGAGGGGCTCTCCTATCCGGGGCCGGGACCCTGAGGATTTCCACGGGGAACTTTGGGCTCCAGGCTGGGGCTTCTGGGTGGAGGTGCGAGTCCAGGGTCTGGATACACCCCAGGTGTCCCCACCAGGCCCCCTTCCTAGTCCCAGGGCTTCCCATTGCCATGGGCCACCCCCACCGCCAGCTTCTTTCCTCAGCCTCCCTTCCCACCCCGTTCAGCCGGCATGTGCTCCTGGTAAGCCCTGCCACGGCCACCTTCTGGCCCCGCCCCCCCCCCCCCCCCCCCCGCCGAAGGTTCTCCCTCCTTTTAATGAGGGCAGGGTGCCGGATCCCCACGGCCTGGCCTTGGGGTCCTGCTGACTCAGTGTCTCCAGGTAGATGGGGACTTCCTGGAAGTGGCGGAGGTAAAGGATGAGTCACGGAACCGGGTTCCCCCAGTCTCTGGGGCCTCCCTGCTGCCCGCCCGAGAGGGGAAACGCCCAGGAGCTGCCGTGGGGGGCGCCTCCTGGCGAGGGGAGATTAGCGGCCAGGCTGGCCAGGTGCACACCCACTCGGAGGCTGTTTTTGCTGAGGGACCTCTTCCCCGGGTGCCAGAACCAGATGTAATTCTGTATCTGCTCCGGCCCGCCACATCAGCTGAAGCACAGACCCCTGGAAACCCCGGCCAGGGCTGTGATGGCGCAGGCATCTGTGATCACACAGGCACGGATGCACAGTCCTGACACACACACAGCCATGCCTTGTCTCCCTCGGTCCCCACCTCCTCCCCACGCCCAGAGCCGAGCGGGCGGGCCCCCTGGGCAGACAGCCTGCCCTTTTCTCGGTTCCCGGAGGAAGTGGCTGATGCAAGCAGTCGTGGATATTAAGTTTGCTGCTTGAGGTCAGAGGTGACCCTGCTGCAGCCTGCCCGGGGAAGCCTGCATTTCTGATGCTCATCGGAAATCCTTTGGGGCAAAAATGACAGCCTCCGCGGACCCTGGGAGGCCAGCTCCCACTACCATGCCCCGAAAATGTGCAGGCGGGGGTGGGGAGGGGGGGCACACATTTGGGTGCCGTGGGCCTGTAAGGGTTCTACCCACCTCAAGAGGCCAACCCAGCCGAGACCGGTTTGGCCCCCTGGATGGAGCGTCGGTCTTCGGGCTGAAGGGTCCCGGGTTCGATTCCTCTCAGGGGCATGTGCCTTGGTTGCGGGCACATCCCCAGTGGGGGCGTGCTGGAGGCAGCTGGTCGGTGTTTCTCTCTCATCGATGTTTCTGGCTCTCTATCCCTCCCCCTTCCTCATATTTTAAATACTACTACTAATAATAATAAAAAATAAAAAAGGGATCAGAAGTGAGTTAAAAGTAAAAAAAAGAGGCCAATCCAGCCCCGCAGGCACCCTCCCAAACCCCCCCACATCCCCACACTTCTCCCCTGTGGTATCTAATAACCGCCCCCATGTCTATCGTTACAGAAATCTCTTCCCTTCCAACCTGGTGTCCGCAACCTTCCGCTCGGTGAGTGCTGGGGGCGGCGATGTGGGGGCAGGGGAACCCCCAGGGAGGGAGACAGCCAGTCACAGCCCCTTGGTGCTTGATTTGGGGTGGTACCTGCTCGCGTATGTACGGGCACTATTGCAGGGTTTCTGGGGTGACCTGTGAACCCACCCACAGCCCTCAGCCACAGAGGAGGACGCGGGGGCTGGCTCTGATCCTCGCTGTGCCGTGCTGGGGGTGCCGGGCAGGCGCCTTCGCATCTCTGAACCTCGGCTCCTGCCTCCGGAAAACGGGGCTTGAGCAGCCTTCTCGGGGGGGGGGGGGGGGGGGGGCTGCTGGCGGGAGGGATGCGAGGCTGTGTGAAGGGACGTCTGGGCAGGCTTTGGGGGTTGCAGGAGTCAGTATGGTGGGGAGGATGACTGTTGCACTGACTCTCCCCCACCCCTTGCAGTACTCCACCTACTACAAGGAGAGCAACGGGACCTTCGTGAAGGTGAGCAGGAGAAGGGTTGACACCTGGCCCCCTAACACGGGTGTGTCATTTGGTTTTGAACTCTGAGCAGCTTTTCTCCACTTTCTGTCCCTCTGCCTTTCCGGGTCTCCCTGTGGACCCCCTCTTCCCTTCCCCCACTGCCCACTGTGGTCCAGGCTCCTGTTTCCCACCCACCCACCCACCCCCATCCGGGCCTCTCCTCCCAGGTCTGCCCTGGGCCTGGCAGCCCAAGGGGTCTTTTCCACGTACAAACCCGTCCCTGCCTCTGCCCCGCTCAGACCCCGTCACGCTCCTTCCCGGGGGTCCTTCCACTGGTCCCAGGACACTCTGAGGTCAGGCCCCCCGCCCTGTCGCCCCCGCAGACTCTTCTCGTGATTCTGCCCAACTCGTGCCACTCCAGACACCGTGGGTTTCTTCCTGCTTTTTATTTTTTTAAATATATTTTATTGTTTTGTTTTGTTTTGTTTTGTTTTTACAGAGAGGAAGGGAGAGGGAAGAGAGTTAGAAACATCGATGAGAGAGAGTTATCGATCAGCTGCCTCTTGCACACCCCCTACTGGGAATGTGCCTGCAACCAAGGTACATGCCCTTGATTGGAATCGAAGCTGGGATCCTTCTGTCCGCAGGCCGAGGCTCTATCTACTGAGCCAAACCAGTTTCGGCGTCTCTTCCTGCTTTTTGAATGCCCGAGTTGCTCTCATTTCTAAGCCGTTGCAAATTATTTCATTGCTCTAGAAGGTTCTACCACCCCCCCCCCCCCTGGACCTGGTTCACCCTTCCTGTTCAGCAGGTCTCACTCAGCCCCTTCCTCCAGGAAGCCTTACCTGATTACCCACACCCCTGAGGGGGCGCCAACCCCTGCCTCCTCAGTTCCCACACTCCCCAGGGTCTCCCACACTCCCCTGCTCACTCTGGGTGATCCCCCTGGACCTGGACCCTGCGCCTTTGGCAGGAAGGGGCCCAGGGGAGAGGCGCTCCGGGAGCTTGCACGGTGACTGAGCATTCCCCTGCCCGCAGACGGAGGGTGAGGTGGAGGGCATGAACATCCTGGGCCTGGTGGTGTTTGCCATCGCCTTCGGCGTGTGCCTGCGGAAGCTGGGGCCCGATGGAGAGCTGCTCATCCGCTTCTTTAACTCCTTCAACGACGCTACCATGGTGCTGGTGTCCTGGGTCATGTGGTAGGTGTGGGAGGGGGGGCGTGGGGGGGTAGGATGGGGCGGCCTGTGCCCTTCTCAGAGCCGGAAGGCCTAGACTCAAATCCAGCATTTTTCCCCTACCTGGAAAACGGGGCTGAGCGGAGCAGGCACAAAAAAGTTCACACACACACACATAGTTAATACGTGGAAGGTGCTTGGGCCCGTGCCTGGCCTATGGCAGGCTTGCAGAAAACAATGTTAGCTAATATTTACCCAGTGTACTTGGCTCGTATAATTTCTTGGCACGGCCCACTGGCCAGAACGTGGGCATGTGGCCAAACCCAGGTGCCCAGGTTGCTGGGAAATGGCGCCTTTCTTCTCTGTACTAAAGAGGAAAAGGGGTTGGGAGACAACACCTGGGAGTAACAGCTATCAGGCGGCCCCGGAGGCAATCCCGGAGGCCTCCTGGCTGGGAGGCATAAGCACCCGGAGGGATCTTCATCCCGGGAGAGGGTGCTAACGTTTATATCGATGAATTATTGAAAAGCATCCAGCTCGCGTCACCTGGCATCTCCTTTCGCCCTCCCGGCATTCTGAGGTTGGGAGCGTCGTCGCTCCTGCTTTATGGACCGGTTACGTTCTGTTCGCGCCATGGTAGCTGCAAGAGACTCGAGGGAGGGGCTCCCAGGTCAAGAGGGGGTGGTAGAACGTTCTAGAGAGGTGGGGAGGATCCGGTCACGCTCAGGGGCTCAGCACGTGGCCCACGCTCCATGCCTTGGAGCTGTGAGTAAGACGTGAGCCGTGGTCTTTTCATTTCTCATGGTGTGGTGAGAGATTTGCATTGGTGTTAAATCATGCGAGCTGCCATCATAAAGGAACCCCGGCCATCATGAATGACTCACGCCTGGTGCACGCTTCTCTCTGGCTGGTGACTCTTACTCCCCAGTGGCGAGGGAAGCAGCCCGGCCGGCAAGGGAGGTGCCGGGCGCCTCCTGGCTCCGAGGGGGGCGGTGGCCGGGCTGCGTGGGGCTCGTGCTCAGAGGCTGCCTCTGTCTCCTGGGTGCCAGGTACTCCCCTGTGGGCATCTTGTTCCTGGTGGCCAGCAAGATCGCGGAGCGGGAGGACGTGGGGGATCTCTTCGCCAGAGTGGGCAAATACGTCCTGTGCTGCCTGCTGGGCCACGCCATCCACGGGCTCCTGGTGCTGCCGCTCATCTACTTCCTCTTCACCCGCAAGAACCCCTACCGCTTCCTGTGGGGCATCAGCGCGCCGCTGGTCACCGCCTTCGGCACCGCCTCCAGGTGTGACCGGGGGGCAGTCTGCAGCCGAGGGCCCTGCAGCAGGCAGGCGTCGCGTGTCTGGAGGCCCCCGAACTTCTGCGTTGGGGGACATGGGGGTCTGGGCCCAGGGGCTGGACTTTCCCAAGTTTCTCCTAAGGTCCCGGAGCCCAGCTCCCTCCCCGCCCCCTAAAATTAGGAGACGGCTGCCTTAGAGATCCCTTCCCGAGGGCCCTTCCTTCCCGCCCAGGCCTGGCCCTCGGGGATGAGCGCTCCACTCCGGATCCAACCTCCGGGAGCTTTTCCCACCCTCTCAGCCGAGCCTGTCCCTCTTGCAGTGGCCTCCCCAAGAGAGTAATTTTTTTTTCTTTTTTAAAAATATTTTATTGATTTTTTTTTTTTTTTTTACAGAGAGGAAGAGAGAGGGATAAAGAGTGAGAAACGTCGATGAGAGAGAATCATCAACCAGCTGCCTCCTGCACACCCCCTACTTGGGATGTGCCCGCAACCAAGGTCCATGCCCTTGACCGGAACCGAACCCGGGACCCTTCAGTCCGCAGGCCGACGCTCTATCCACTGAGCCACACCGGTTTCGGCGAGAGAGAGTTAGTAATTCTTAGCCGAGGTCCATCCTCGGTGGAGGCTGCAGGTGTGAGTCCGTGAGCTCCGAGCCATAGGATTTAGGAGTGAGTTTTTGTGTGGACTTTGAGGAACAGCGTGCCCAGGATGCCCACACGGAATAGCTTCAGCCTATACCAGTGGTCGGCAAACTGCGGCTCGCGAGCCGCATGGGGCTCTCTGGCCCCGTGAGTGTGGCTCTTACACAAAAGACCCCGGCCTGGGCGAGTCTATGTTGAAGAAGTGGCACTAGAAGAAGTTTAGGTTTAAAAAATGTGGCTCTCCAAAGAAATTTCAGTAGTTGTGCTGTTGCTATTTTGGCTCTGTGGACTGATGAGTTTGCCGACCACTGGGCTACACCATCCCTAGTACCTTCTGGCCCTGGGAAGGGAAGGAATCCTATTGCTGGAAAGGCTGTGGGTGGAGGCAGGGAAGAGGGTGGAGGCAGTGGGTGGGCGTGCCCAAGAGGGTGGGCGTGGCTTTGGACAAGGTGGGTGGTGACGTAGGCGTGGTTTAGTGGTGGGTGGGGCTTCGTGGTGGGTGTGCCCAGGTTGGTGGGCGTGGCTTTGGGTCGGGAAAGGGCGATGTGTGGGCGGGGCTTCCTGGGTGGGCGGGGCCTGGGTGCAATGACCCAGATCTGCCTGGTCCCTCGCAGCTCGGCCACCTTACAGCTGATGATGAAGTGCGTGGAGGAGAATAATGGCGTCTCCAAGCACATCTGCCGCTTCATCCTGCCCATCGGCGCCACGGTCAACATGGATGGGGCCGCGCTCTTCCAGTGCGTGGCCGCCGTGTACATTGCCCAGTTTAACCAGCAGCCCCTGGACTTCGTGAAGATCATCACCATCCTGTGAGTGTGGGCTGGCCACCCGGGACCCTTCCCCTGCGGACTTGGGGCCCCTCCCTGACCTCCCCTCTGCCCCCAGGGTCACCGCCACGGCATCCAGCGTGGGCGCCGCGGGCATCCCTGCGGGAGGCGTCCTCACCCTCGCCATCATCCTGGAGGCCATCAACCTGCCGGTTGACATCTCCTTGATCCTGGCTGTGGACTGGCTAGTGTGAGTGTGTGTTTGGGGGCTCAGGGGGGTGGGGCTCCGGGGACTCCCGGGAAAGGGGATGAGGAAGAGGGCCATGGAGAGCCTCTGGGCAGAAGAGGGGCTGGGCTGTACACTTTCAATGGGTGATTTGATGGTGTGTGAATTGTAGCTACATTTTCTAAAGTGTCACATACACTGAGTAGCCAGATTATTATGATCTCTGAACGCATAATAATCTGGCCACTTGAGATATATATATATATATATATAGCCCGGTTCATGAATTCATGCATGGGTGGGGTCCAGCCAGCCTGGCCAGGGGGAGGGGACATGGGCGGTTGGCCGGCCTGCCTGCTGGTCAAAATCCTGGTCGAGGGGACCATGTGCATATTAGCCTTTTATTATATAGGATATACACTGAGTGGCCAGATTATTATGCGCTCAGAGATCATCATAATCTGGCCACTCCGTGTGCACACAGTCACATGCACTTAGCAATATCACTCCTAGGTTTATACCCCAAGAGAACTGAAAGAAGGAAAGAAAAAAAAAAAAAAACCCCTTAGGATCCTGAGGAGGAGAAAGGCCTGAAGAGGGGACTCCGAGTTTCAGGGGAAGAGGGGGTGGAGGCTCTCCTGGGGACCCAAGAAAAGGAGGGGTGACTCTGAGATTCCGGAAGGAACAAATCTTGTTTCAGTGGAAGAAGGATCAGTGGGGGGCTGGAGAGGATAGAGGGGCCGGCCTTCGGGGTTCAGAGGCAGAGGACATAGGATGGGACACTCTGGCCTTCCGGAGGCAGGGGCGGGGCGGCATCCTCAGGGGATGGGGGAGGGATGCCCTGGGCCCGGGCTGTAGAATGGGGTTCTGGGTAGGACGGTTTGGGTAGGAGACCTCGTGATTCCCGGGAGAGGGGGGGGTGGGGGAGGGTGCAGAGCTGGGCCTGGACCCTCATTCACGCCCCGCCATGCCCCCCCTTCAGGGACCGGTCCTGCACCGTCCTCAACGTGGAAGGGGACGCCTTCGGGGCGGGGCTCCTCCAGCACTACGTGGACCGCGCCAAGCCCGCGAGCTCGGTGCCCCAGCTGGTCGAGGTGAAGGCGTGTGCGGACCCCAGGCCCGTGCCCCCGGAGGAGGGTAACCCGCTCCTCACGAGGCCCGCCGCGGCCGCCGGCCCAGAGAAGGAGTCCGTCATGTAAGCCCCGCGGGGGCCTTCCCTGCGGACGGGCACTCTGGACACTCAGACCCCCGAGATGGACCGACGGACGACCCGGGGCTCTGGCGGCCCTGTCACACACTCCGGAGCCGGGAGCCCAGCCTCCGGCCCCACCCCCGAGGCTTTGAGGCTTTGCTGCTAGAACGCGTGTGTGTGTGGGTGACTGTCTCCCCAAACCTCCCTGATCGCAGCGCCTGGCCCCCCCCCCCCCAAGGCCACGAAACAGCAGATGCTCGTCCTGGGAGTCTGCCTGGCCCCCCATCTCAGGACAGGGCACGGGGCACAGGGCACAGGGCACAGGCCGCCACGGGGAACTGTGGCCTCCTGGACGGGATGTTCCCACACGTGCTGGCTCCTTGGCTGGCTATTGTGGTGGGGGTGGGGGTGGGGGTGGAGGTGGGGGAGTGTGTGGGTGCTGTGAATCCATGGTACGTTCCCCCCTGACCCGGGAACTCTGGGTAGGGAGAGACTGAGGACAAACATTGCTATCACTCCAGAGGACATTAAAAAAAAAAAAAAAAAAAAAAAAATATATATATATATATATATATATATATATATATATATTATTGACTTTACAGAGAGGAAGGGAGAGGGATAGTGTTAGAAACATCGATGAGAGAGAGTCATCGATCAGCTGCCTCCCACACACCCCCTACTGGGGATGTGCCCGCAACCAAGGTACATGCCCTTGACCGGAATCGAACCTGGGATCCTTCAGTCCGCAGGCCGACGCTCTATCCACTGAGCCAAACCGGTTAGGGTGAGAGGACATTTTCTAGCAATAACAAACCCTAACCAGTTCTGCTCAGTGATTAGAGCGTCAGCCCATGGACTGGAGGGTCTCGGGTTTGATCCCGGTCAAGGGCACATACCTCAGTCGCATTCAGAGGCAACCAATAGATGTTTCTCCCCGTCTCTCCCCCTCCCTTCCACTCTCTAAAAATCAATGGAAAATATATCCTTGGGTGAGGATTAACAAAAAAAAAAAAAAATTTTTTTTTAATTGTCAAGTATATCTAATCAGATGTTTTTAAGAATTTACTAGAGTCCTAAGCAGTTTGGCTCCATGGATAGAGCATCAGCCTTAGGGCTGAAGGGTCCCAGGTTCTATTCCAGTCCAGGTCACATACCTTGGTTGCAGGCACATCCCCAGCGGGGAGTGTGCAGGAGGCAGCTGATCAATAAATATATATTTAAAAAAAAAAGAATTTGACTGGAAGCACTAGCCACACAGGACTTAAAAACACAGGATAAGTTGGACTTCATGGAAATGTCTGTCCATCAGCACCATGGGCAGCTACCAGGAGATGCCATACACACCTACTGGGATGGCAACAAACCCGCACCCCGTCCTGTCGGGCATGTGGCACAGCTGGGCAGAGCCCATGCATTCTGGGTGGCAATGCAGAACGGTCCAGTCACTTTGGAAAGTGGCGAGGCAGCCTTTTCTTTATTTTTAGAGGGAGAGAAACATCGATTTGTTGTTCCACTTATGTATGCATTCATTGGTAGATTCTTTTCTTTTTAAATATATTTTTATTGATTTCAGAGAAAAAGGAGAGAGAAACATCAATGATGAGAATCATTGCTTGGCTGCCTCCTGCCCACCCCTAACTGGGGATGGAGTCTGCAATCCGGGCATGTGTCCTTGACCGGAATCCAACCCGGGACCCTTCAGTCCGCAGGCCGACGCTCTATCCACTGAGCCAAACCGGCTGGGGCCATTGGTTGATTCTTATTTGTGCCCTGGCCAGGGGATCAAACCCACAGCCTTGGTCTATCGGGACAACCCTCTCACCAGCTGAGCTACTTGGCCAGGGCGGTGGAGGCAATCTTATCAAAATGAAACACATGCACACCATACGGCTCAGGAGCCCCACTGCTGGGAATCTACCCAAGAGAAATGAAAACTGCTCACACAGAAACCAGGGCACACATGTTTATAGCTGCTGTCTTTATAATTGCCAAAATCCAGAAGGAAGTCAGTCGGATAAACTGGTACAATGATCACTATGTGATTGAAGGCTGGTTGGCAAAAAAGCAAGTACTGGTATGCAGTTGGCACTTGAACAACACGGGTCTGAATGGCAAAGGTCCACTGATACCTAGATTTAAAAAAACGAAATACCTGCATTGTTTTGATCTGGTGGGAGTCAGGATGCAGAGGGCTGAATTGACCTGTGTCATATACGCAGGGGACTGGAGTGTCCGTATCTGAGGGCGCCTGGAACCAGTCCTCTGTGGATACTGAGGGACCACTTACGCTCTGGGAAAATCAAGTTTGACTTCATGGGGGGTTGGGGCCCCTAATACCTCTGTTGTTCAAGGTCCACTGTACTCAACGTGGGTGCATCTCACAGATAACATATGGAGTGAAAGAAGCCAGAAACGGTACATACTCTATGGTTCTGTTTACATGACGGCCTAGGACAGGGTAGAGAAACAGTGCTGGTGGACTGGGAGAGGGAGCACGGGGACCTTCTGTGGTACAGCCAGTGTGACATGTCTTTTTTTAAAAAAATATATTTTATTGATTTTTTTTTTTTACAGAGAGGAAGGGAGAGGGATAGAGAGTCAGAAACATGGATGAGAGAGAAACATCGATCAGCTGCCTCCTGCACACCCCCCACTGGGGACGTGCCTGCAACCAAGGTACATGCCCTTGACCAAAATCAAACCTGTGACCTTTCGGTCCACAGGCCAATGCTCTACCCACTGAGCCAAACCGGTTTTGGCTAGTGTGACATGTCTTGATACGAGTGATGTTTACACAGAGGGGAATGTTGGGAAACGTTAGTGAACCCGTACACGTACGTTGTGTGCATGTCTCCTATGTAGATGGTCTTCCCATTAAAGATTGTGTCTCAGGAAAGACACTCACCTATCGCTGTGATCACTTCCATAAGAAGGTGGATATCCCTCGATATCTGAACTCCCTCTGCAGATAGTCCCAATGGTGATTTGCTCCTTTAACCCCAAATTTGTTATTTAAATAAAAAAACCCTGCTGTGCAACTATCAGCCTCATTGTACGCCACAAGCACCTGTAGACGCAAGCAGCCGACCTTCCGCATGTGCCATGCGCCTCCATAAAAAGTTATCTTCCCTGAGTGGCAGCCCTGACCAACTTTTTAAACCATTTTTTGGGGGGAGAATTTTCAGCTGAGAATATTCAAGAACACCCGAATTGTGAGTAATATATTTATTTTTATAATATCCATTGCAGAGTGATTTTTTTTAAATTAAATTCAAAATATGGTGTGTGGGCATGGTTTTTGTTTTTAAAAATATATATTTTTATTGATTTCAGAGAGGAAGGGAGAGAGAGAAACATCAATCATGAGAATCATTGATTGGCTGCCTCCTGCAAGCCCCCCACTGGGGATCAAGACCGCAACCTAGGCATGTTTCCTTGACCAGAATCAAGCCCGGGACCATTCAGTTCGCAGGCTAAGGCTCTATCTGCCGAGCCAGATGGCTAGAGAGTGTGGTTTCCATTCTGGACACGTGGCAGTTAACTGGCGAGTCCTGTTCTGGATGGCACCAGCTACTGCTCACCTGTTCCGACAGGATCCGGTCTGTATGTCACCGGAGCATGTTACACATTCCGATGTTAACAGGGCCTGCAGGCAGCACTGCCCCAGTGCTATTGCTGGATTATCGTTAGCATCTTTCCTTCCCCCATTTCCTCGTGATTTAACTCGTATCTGATTCTGTGCAAACTTGTAGATTGCACACAAACAGGGCCAGTTAATGAGAGTACTAAGTGTGGAGTAGTTAAGTAATTGGTTTGTTTGTTTTTTTAATGCTTGGTGGGTTGTTACAGAAATATTTAAGAGAGCCGAAACCGGTTTGGCTCAGTGGTAGAGCGTCGGTCTGCGGACTGAAAGGTCCCAGGTTCGATTCCGGTCAGGGGCATGTACGTTGGCTGTTGGCACATCCCCGGTAGGGGGTGTGCAAGAGGCAGCTGGTCGATGTTTCTCTCTCATCGACGTTTCTAGCTCTCTATCTCTCTCCCTTCCTCTCTGTAAAAAATCAATTAAAAAAAAATATATATATATATAAAGAAATATTTAAGAGAGTTTTAACAATATTTGGGGAAATGTGGTGGTGTTTTTGGAGTGAGTGCATTATTTTCCCCGCTCAAAATTGTTTATCCTCACGTTTCCTATTTAATGTTTTTTGGAGGATGGGTTAAGTTTACATTATGTGGGATGCCTGTTTAAAGAGGTACATACCTAAATATTCAATATATTTAATATACTATCTACATGCACAATGTATGTGTGTTCAAAGGATATGTAATGGCCACGTTCCAGCAAACTGCTTCAGCTACCTTTTTCTGTTCTATTTAAATATATATATATATATATATATATATATATATATATATATATATATATATTTTATTGATTTTTTTACAGAGAGGAAGGGAGAGAAATAGAGAGTTAGAAACATCGATCAGCTGCCTCCTGCATGCCCCCCACAGGCTATGTGCCCGCAACCAAGGTAAGTGTCCTTGACCGGAATCGAACCTGGGACCTTTCAGTCCACAGGCAAACGCTCTATCCACTGAGCTAAACTGGTTTCGGCTTCTGTTCTATTTTTAAAGTGATCTGAGTACATGCCCCTAGTTTGCCTAAAACGATAATCTAAGATCACGTAGGAAGACTGAAACCATCTCAAGCCTCTTGGGTGTAGACGGGATTAAGCGGCTCTCAAACTGGCTTGTGTGCTCCAGGAGGGCGGGGCCTCGGGCCTGTTCCCTGTTGTCTGCACAGGCCCTGGCGCGTGGTGGGCACTCAGTCAGTCTGCAGGATGAGGGAGCTGGGCCCCAGCTGGCTACAAGAGGCTGATTCGGATCCCTGTCTGCCGCCCGCCAGCTGTGGGACCTCAGGCACTCAGGGCTGCGTTTCCCTCTGGTGACAATGGCTGTTATGCCACACCCCAAGGTGAAGGTTGCATAAGAGAAGAAAAAGCA